CCACCTAAGGTCCACGTGGCGCAGCTCGCATGGCGCCACCGTCCCTTTTTGGCACACCCCTCACACGTTTCGTGGCCCCAGAGGGAGCTCCATTTACGGTCCAAGTGGCGCAGCTCGCATGGCGCCACCGCCCCATTTTGGCACACCCCTCACACGTTTCGTGGCCCCATAGGGAGCTCCATTCACGGTCCAAGTGGCGCAGCTCGCATGGCGCCACCGCCCCATTTTGGCACACCCCTCACAGATTTCGTGGCCCCTCAGGGAGCTCCACCTGAGGTCCAAGTGGCGCAGCTCGCATGGCGCCACCGCCCCTTTTTGGCACACCCCTGACACGGCCCCTCAGGGAACTGCACCTAAGGTCCCAGTGGTGCAGTTCGCATGGCACCCCTTCACACGTTTCGTGGCCCCACAGGGAGCTCCATCTCAGGTCCAAGTGGCGCACCCCACATGGCGCCGCAGACCCACTTTGGCACACCCCTCACACGTTTCGTGGTCCCATAGGGAGGGAGGAGGAGGAGGAGGAGGAGGAGGAGGAAGAGGAGGAGGAGGATGAGGAGGAGGGCGAGGAGGAGGACGAGGAGGAGGAAGAGGAGGAGGAGGAGGAGGAGCAGGAGGAGGAGGAAGAAGGACCGCCCTGGCCGCTGTCGCCGCCGCCGATGCCGCCGTCGCCGCCGTCGGCGCCGCCGTCGGCGTCATGCTCGCGGCCCCACCGGCGAACGGGAGAGAGGGTCCCCTCCCCCTCCTCCTCCTTTCCCTCCTCCTCGCTTCCTTCTCTTTGTTGCCCGCGCGCATCATCATTGTCCATGCTTGTTGAGTCCACTTAGCTGTGAAGCCATCCGTTGCAAAGAATCCCAACCATCGCGGCGTGTGGCCTGGCCCCGACCGGTGTCTAGGATTCTCCAGCGACGGGTGTCTCATGGCCTCTCCAACCGTACGAACGGATTCATAAAGCCATGGACATAGATGTTCGTCGTCGTCGTCGTGGTCGTCGTCGTCGGTGTCGTCGTCGTCGTCGTCGTCGTTGTCGCCGTCGTCGCCGCCGCTGTCGTCGTCGTCGTCGTCGTCGTCGACGTCGTCGTCGTGCTGCGTCGTCGTCGACGTCGTCGTCGTGCCGCTGTCGACGCCGCCGCCGCCGCCGCCGTCGTCGTTCATGAGAGCGCGTTCTGATGGGTTGTGTTTCGCGTAGTGTGCTCGCTTTCATGGGCGCCACTAGCGCCGATTTTTCAATTTCGCGTCCTGCCAGGTAGATGGGGTTCGCCGTGCGTGCGTGGAGAGTTTTCGAATGCGTAGAAGGACAAGACCACCGGCTAGCTCTCTGTGCTCCGCGCAGCGGACGACCTGCGCGCGTCGCTGGGACCCCTCCGCGGCGACCTGCGCGCGTCGCGGGGACTCCGCGCTGCTCTGCGCCCGCAGCTTTGGATTTTTGGAGCGCGCAGGCAATGAGGGGGGAAAAGAAGGGGCGGAAGCGGGTGCGATCCCCGTGAGGGGCGTGCCGACATGGGCGTCGCGGCGCGCGGGCGCTGCCGTCGGGGTTCCCGCGGAAGCTGCCTGCGGCGGCCACGCCCGGTGTCACGAGTGTTCGGACAGGCGTGCTCGAGCCATTCACATTCATATACATTTACACTAGGCGTAGCCAAGATCGCATTCATGCAAATATACTCACTCCCACGCAGACCCATTCACACTCAGACTCTCTCGCGCTCTGGCTCACCCGCGTTCATTCTTTCGTTATCTGACCTATCGTATTCCTTTGCGTTGTGTACCCCGCCATATTTCGGCATACCCCTCATGCGGTTCGTGGCCCCATAGGGAGCGCCACCGAAGAAGGTACTCACAATTGCGGCACTCACAACTGCATATGGTTGGGTCTTTCGCCAGGATACATTTTATAATCGTACTACTACGACTTATTACTACGCGCTTAACTATATGACTATCGACGGATAGCTGCGCTTACTGACTAACGACCTACTATTCGCAATTTCGAGGCTACACATATGGGGCGACACCTATCATATCGACTACGGATCATATTCACCAAGGGATGGTTATATATTGTTATAATGGCTACGGAGTTACTCATCCTACTTACTCATACTACTACGACTACTACTACGACTACTACTACTACTACTACTACTACTACTACTCTGACGACGACTACGACTACTACTACTACTACTACTACTACTACTACTACTACTACTACTACTACTACTACTACTACTACTACTACTACTATTACTATTACTATTACTACTACTACTACTATTACTACTACTACTACTACTGCTACTGCTACTATTACTACTACTACTACTACTACTACTACTACTACTACTACTACTACTACTACTACCACTACTACTACTACGACTACGATTACGACTACGACGGCGACGGATACTACTATTACGACTACTACTATTTCTACTGCTGCTACGACCACGACTACTACCACTACCACGACTAATTCCTACTACGACTTATTATTATTCTT